TGCGGTCCGACGAAACATTTCCTGCCCAGTCCACCTTTGAACAAAGCCCATGCCGTGGCAGCAGGTCTGAGCTTCTGGTGTGTTTCCGTCTAGCACATCAGCAGACGGTGTTGCAGCCAAATCATTCGTGTAGAAGACAACTACTCTCTTGTCGCGAAAAACAATATACCCAGCGTGAGGCGAGCGAACGTATGGTGCTTCAAATGGAGTTTTTTGCGCCTTCCTCAAGCCTTTCTGGCTCTGTTTGTGAGCCTTTTCAAGCTCTTTCACGTTGTCAACAAGATCATGTGCCGCAACTAACTTCCAGCAGCCCCGTTCAGCATCATTCAGCTCTAGAACAGCCGATTCAACAGCAGGTCGAGAGAAAGAGTCCACATAGTTTATTCTGCAGGTCCCAATCACTCTCATCTCTCCTAAAGTCAACTCCAGTGCATGCTACGCAAATGCATGCCTCGTGTAGTAGGAATCCATGACGACAAGCCGTTTCCCACTCGAGAGCAGTTGCTGGTTCTGTAGAGACAACATCGCCACCCAAAGCGCAGTAGCACTCTTGGGGTCAAGTCTGCCATGATCACATCTAGTTGTCATCACTCTACGGAGCTCAGGAAATATTGCAGTGTAGCGCTATAAATGTCCCGCTACGGTGGTATTGCCACTTCCATTGTCGAACAGGCCGTGAGCGTAAAGCGTCTTCCAGTCGACTAAAGCGTAAAATCGCACGGCGTACTTGTCTGGCTTCGATGGGATGTAAGTTCTGGCTGCAGACCGAGCTTTTGTCCGAATTGAGCTTTCATCCAGAGCGGATACGCCATTTGGAACTGCGAAGTTGGCGCACTTCTTCAATATATTGTTCAAAATACTTCGACAATGCCAAAGAGGATCTCTCACCTTGACTTCTTCCGGCACAGTGTCAACAGGGTGTAGTGTCAAAGCGGACCGGATACCAAGAAACAAATCACGCTGCATTGTTGCTCGGAAGAGCTGGTGACCATAAAGCTCGTTTTTTGACCAATAATCGCGCAGGCGGTTCAGAGAGCAGAGGCTGGTTGCAATCTCGAGCCCTATGTAGGCATTGAGCTCGCGCAGTGTTATGACAGGGATCCCTTTTTCCGAGAGACGAGGGTTTAGCCACTGAAGCAGCGTATTACGAACGCTACGACTAAAACCTAGTGCAAAGAGACCTAATATTCCCTTGGTTTGATACGCACGCACCACTTTGGCCTCCTGCAGCAACGTGATGCCTCCATTTTGTTTGATATTCTCGAGATACGCACGTCCAGCACTTGCAGCTTCTTCACTGATCGCATCTGTTGCGACTTCTGGGTCTCTTGGCATGCTGCTGCCATCCAATTCATCATCACTCGAGTCGTCATGTTCTTCTGCGTCTGGAGATTCATCCAGGGTTCTCTCCCAGTCTGGTAGAAGCAGCTCGATATCCATCACTAGCACTTTGAGGTCGTGGGAAATTTCTGTAATGCAAGTGCTGCATCTGGTGGTGGTGGTGGGGGGGGG